TCTATCTATCTATCTATCTATCTATCTATCTATCTATCTATCTATCTATCTATCTATCTTTATTCATAGGTACACACACCACACATCATGGCTTTTGCTCAGCTGGTGCATTACACACAAACATACACAGATGCATACTCGCTAAATGTATGTATATGTGTATATATGTATATGTATGTATATATGTACATACAGGTAGAAAGATTGATATAGAAATATAGAGAAAAATACTTACACAAACGTACACACACCCACACAAACACCATGGCCTCTGCTCATACAAAGTTCTGCTATATTACACACATACATACTGTGTCTCTCTCCATAGATAGATATAGAAATATAGATACATATATATACACACATACACTCACATGCATACCCCACACATCACGGCTAGGTAGATAGGTAGATACTGGTAGATAGATACCGATGGATGGATGTAGAAATATAGAGATAAATACTTATACACACACACATACAAACACCCAAACACCATGGCTCTGCTCATACGAAGTTCTTCTGGCATATTACATATACATACATACTATCTCTATTTGTCTATATAGATTAGATATAGATATATATATATGTACACATACACACACACTACAAATATGGCCTCTGCTGGGTCAAGGTTCTGCTGATATATTATACATATACATACATGCTATCTCTCTCTGTCCACTTATATATAATTAGATATGGATATAGATACATACATATAAGCAGGCACACACTGCACACATCCTGGCCTCTGCTCGTATAAATTTGTGCTGGTATATTACGCACACACTTATAAATACTATACACACATATATACATACACACACACTCTCCACTTAGAGAATAACCTGTGTATTTTACATGTATTTTCCTGGTATCTCCTGCATGCTCATGAGAGATTTATGGACAATTTAGGATTCTGATTGCATACTGTGCTAAATCAGATGGTTTTTTTTAACAGTGGTGGCAGCTTCTTCCACAGAGTTAGGATCACTGAAAATCAGTGCTTGAAGAGGCTGAAGAGATTCACCAAGTAAAACTTAATTGTCTTCGATCAATAGAATCTCTGGGCTGTTTTTCCCCCTTCTGGTGAATTGTCCATTGATGTTCGATTTCGGTGGTTTAGAGCCAACTAACCCTTCCTTCTTTGCTCCTCTGCTCAGCTCCAGCCACCATGGTGAAACTTTTCATCGGCAACCTTCCCCGGGAAGCCACCGAGCAGGAAATCCGCTCCCTTTTCGAGCAGTACGGCAGAGTCCTGGAGTGTGACATCATCAAGAATTATGGGTTTGTGCACATTGAAGACAAGACGGCCGCCGAGGACGCCATCCGCAACCTGCACCACTACAAGCTGCACGGCGTCTGCATCAACGTCGAAGCCAGCAAAAACAAGAGCAAGGCTTCCACCAAGCTGCACGTGGGCAACATCAGCACCAGCTGCACAAACCTGGAGCTGCGGTCCAAGTTTGAGGAATACGGCCCCGTGCTTGAGTGTGATATCGTGAAAGATTATGCCTTTGTGCACATGGAAAGAGCTGAGGATGCCGTCGAGGCCATCAGAGGCCTCGACAACACAGAATTCCAAGGTGGGAAGTGGGGCTAGGGTGGGGCGTGGAAGCTGGAAGCCAAACTTGTCCCCCTTCTGGCTTTCCTCCCCAAGAGGAGGTTATTTTCAGAGCTCCCAAGGGTCATGGGGGGGGGGAAGGGGGCGCACAGCTGGTAATGTCTACTAATTCACTTCCATCCTTGAGTCAGATAGCTGATGCCAGTTACAGATAGTCCATGATTTACAATGGTTCATTTAGGGACTGTCCAAAGTGACAACAGCACTGAAAAAAGTGACTTATGATGGTTTTTCACACTTAATGACCACTGCAGCATCTCCGTGGTCATGTGATCCAAATTGAAACAGCACTAGCACTTAGACTTATATACTGCTTCACAGTCCTCTCTAAGCAGTTTGCAGACTCAGCCTCTTGCCCCCAACAATCCGGATCTTTGTTTTATCAACCTCGGAAAGATGGAATACGTCATCCTTGAGATGGTCAGCATCGAACTGCTTGCCAGTCTGCAGAATTAGCCTGCACTACTTCATCCTAACCACTATACCACTACAGCCCCTCCTTCCTTGGCAATCACCTTTTTGGGATCTGACAAGCAAAGTCATGGTGAAGCTAGATTCACTTAACAATAGTGCTACTAACAGCTGCAGTGATTCACTTAACTGCTGTGGCAAGGAAAGTTGTAAAATGGGACTGCATTCCCTTAACAAATGTCTCACTTAGCAACAACAATTTTGGGTTCAATTTTGTTTGTAAGTCATGGACTACCTGTATTTGGTTGCAAGGTAGATGCAACCAAAAAATGCAAGGTTGCATTTTTGCATTTCAGTAAAGATATGATTTGCTGCTTGATAGAAAGGAGATACAGTTTTGTCCAACTAGGGATTGAAAAGGTTAGGAATAATTTTGTATGAGAGTTTTGAAGCCCGTAAGATTAATAATCATTCTTTTTACTACGGTAATATCCTTTCTATTCATTGAATGCTTAATGGAATGCTGTTATGATTGGTGACTGGCGTCATGTGATGCTTGGCCTTGGGGTATTTTGAGTAGTTTATTGAGTAAACCATAGTTGGCTGGACTTGCATGGGATGCTAAGCCATCTTCAACAGTCTATAATGACTAGATTCAGGCAACCTAGTCTGAATATCAAGCTCAGGAAATCAGGAGTCCAGGCAGTTCAATTGAATATATAGGTTTTATTGCACGCTAAAGCTCTCTACAAGAATCTGAGCTATTAACAGTCAAAGCAAGTAGGCGGTAGATAAGAGTCAATCGAATTCAAATGGGCTGGCTTTATATCTGTTTTGGGCGTGAAGGGACTAGAGACTGATGATGTGTTTGACTCCTCCCTCGGGCTCAGCCTGGTCATCTCCCACACGAGACCACATCCTGGCTTAGAAACATGAGGGCAGTTAGCTGGTGAGATATTGAGGTATATCAATCAGTTTTTTGTGGCCTCTCTGACAAAGGAGTGGATCTTGATCCTAATCTCCTTTTCTTCCCTCCTCCCATTTCCTGTCTGTTCATTAATAAATGTGTGGAAAGGCTTCCATGCTTCTTGTATTCCCACGGCCTTTGTACTCCTGTCTGGTGTTCCCTGTAGCCAACATTACCCAGCCTTCTCCATCCCGGACCCTCAACCACCCTTCTCTCCATTGATCTCCTGTTGCTTTTGGATTGACCCCCCACCTTGCTGTGATTTGATGCCTTCTTTCCTCCTCCTCCTC